AATGAGAGCTACATTTCCTTTGCAGGGCAGGTGGTGTGCCCCGAGGGACTGCCCTAGCTGAGCACACCCCAGGCCCTGCTCCACACAACACTCCTTCGTTCCTTGGTCTTCCAACACTTTCCAGCTTTTCCCTACGTGTAAACCTTCCAGAAAAATGCCCTGTTAATTTCAACAAGTAAAATGTTTTTTGGAGCCGTGAATGGAATAGGCTGTACATACCTTCAAATTTTGATGTAAAAATAAAGTCAATGGGCCAATTTTAAGTAGTTAAATTGTACTTAAGTTATATTTAGACGGCACTTTTTTTCAGCCTTTCTTATCAGTAAATATTTTTTTTCCCTTAAATCTTAGAACCTGGAGGCACCCTCACTATTGTGGCACTAAGGGCCTGTACTTAGCAATTGTCTTTCCTTTATAGATCAAATCGGGTAACGTATGTTAATGTACAAAGCGGTCTACAAGCTGGTATTAGATTGCCATTAGCGTTGCAAAGCCAAATTGGGTGTAACGACCTGTAGGTTAATTTTCACACGATGACGCAGGACGTCAAGCACAGGCTTGGTGGCCCCGGGGATCCCGCGCTCCCTTTTTGGCTGGGCGCCCCAGGCAGCGCGCGCTGGACAGAAGGGCCCCGGGTGCAGGGCACGGCGACGCCGCCTGCGGTGAACGGAGCAGCGCCCGCCCAGGGGCGGCGGGATGGTGCAGCGAGAACTGGCTGGCTTCTCGGAGTCAAGGTCCTAGGTCCTTGGCCCCAGTTTTCTTTAAAGATGGGCTGGGAAGCGCTGGGCCCTCGGTGCATATGGGTCACGTGCCCGGCGCGCAGGTCTCCCTCGCGCTGCTCGGCGCCCCCAGACACCCGCCTATTGCCAGCCCGGGAACCCCGCGAGCTGGCGGCTTGAGCCGGCGGGTGCAGAAAAGGTCCGACTTCCGAACCCCAACCTGGCATCTGTTTCCCGGGTAGCTTCTCAATTTGCCCAGTTCCGTCTCCACTCCCTGTACAAACGCAAGCACCGCACCTGTAAGAAAATACTGGAAATGTTCTTCCTCTTGTGGCTGCTCTTTTAAGTTCTAGGTCTGAAGGTAGCCGAATTGTTAGCTATGCATTCAAATCTAAAAGTCGACTTCAGTCCCGGCTCCCAAAAGCGGAGCGGCTGTCTAGCTCCGTCCCGCTCCTTCGCCGCCTACAGCCTGCCCAAAGGGTCCCTGGAGCGGCGTTCCCGCCACTCCACTCCTGGAGATAGATCGCTCGCTCTATTTCTAACCAGGAAAAGGTCAACAGACAAGCTTAGTAACAAACGGCCCATTCTCTGAGGGTTTTTTCCTCCTCTCCGGGTAAAGTTGAATAGGCATACTTGTGTCTTGTTTCCCGATGCCGTATTTACGGAAGGAGGACCAAGAGAGAACACGCTTTAAGTGGGAATAGAGCTGTTCACTACTGCAAAATAGATCGCACAGCTTAAATTTAGGCAATGTTAGTGCTTAAACTTTTATTAGAAGTGAGCTAAACAACTGAAATAAGAGGTTACATGGAATTTTAAAGACATAAAAGGCATTTACTTGTAAACATTCTAAAACAAAACCAAATAAAATATTAAAAAAAAACTTCTCATGGAAACTTTTATTACCTGTAAACTTAAAAATAATAAAAACTAAAGTGAATTTGAATCACAAAGTTACCTCAATACTTACTGGAGAGAGTGAATTCCTGATGCCATGTGGATGCGGTTCCCATGGGGTCTGGGCATCTTCTTCGAAACTTTCTCAGATACTAATTCTGGCTGGCAGTAAAAGATTACTTATGTTTTAGAAAATGTATCTATTACCTTGTCACACTGAGTGTGAGAATGGCAAGCCACAGTGTTTCAAAATACTGGACTCAAGGTAACGTTAATGTTATGTTAAGCAGCTGAGGAATATCATCCATGCTTCCAACTCGTCTGAAATTTATGTGTGGCCATCACATGATACTTTTTTGGTTAGGCACAAATTCATATCTTAAGACCCAGTTGGTAGGTCTTTGTGTAATTACGGCCCACAATTTTATTCTAAAAGTCTTTCTAAATCATTAGTATTAAATGCTGTTAACAAAGTCTATGGAAGGTGCTTGCATTTAGTAAACAAGACGGAGTCTCTGATTTGCTTTTAATTGAAAGTAAACAGCCACTAGCAGGATAGTTTGAACACATCTGTATTGATAGAACTCTGACTACTAGATGTGTCCGTTAGCTTTTAGTTCTAAGGAAAGCCTTAAATAGAAAAAACTCGGTTACACCCCCACCCTTCCATATACAAAATACCCTTGTGTCCTTCAAAACTTGCACACTCTCTCTCTCTCTCACACACAACACTTTAATTTACAACCCAACACAGCTTACAGAAAAGTACCTGTAATCCCTGTCCCTCCTTTCTGCAACTTTGATTCTGGGTTTTGGTTTCCATGCCTCAATTAAAAAAGATAAGTTATATTGTTGTAAAAGTCCAAAATATTTAGGAAAATGTCACATCTGCAAAGTTAGCATTTCAGAAACTGAGGTTTGCTGTGGCCTCTGCTAAACTTTAAGGGGCTTTGTTCCACTCAGACCCTGCACCAATCCTCCCTAGTGGTTGTGGAGACACTTATCCTCCTCTTCAGTTAATGAGTTTCACCTAGTCTGGCCGTTTGTGTTTTTATAAAAGATCTGCACAGCACTAATTGCAAAGAAGAAAAAAGCTCTTGTCTTGCATTAATCAGAACATGGAATTCTATAGTAAAAACATTTTCTATTTTAATGTTTCAGGAAATAAACCTCCTAATTTCAAGATGTACATACATTAAATTCAGTCTCTGGGTGTATAATGTTAAGTCCTCTGTAGCAATTACTTCTCACTTGGATCTTTTACAACTTAAAAGAATGCTGAAAGGAAAAACCAAATGCCTACCCCAGTATTTCAGAAAATACTATATTAAAAAGTTGTTTCTTTTTAATGGTGACATTTTCGAAAGAGAGTTCACTTGTTTAGTTGAAGGTATTCTTTGTTCCAGAAATAAATTATGGAGAAAAAATTGAGTAGGAAGATTGTCTTTAAATATATTACCTCCAACCTTCAGGCCATAAATTTTCTTTAAATAGATTACCTCCAACCTTTAGGCCATAAGGTATTGTATTGGTCTGTAAAAAAAAAAAAAAAAAAAAAGCAATTATTATAAACTATGTGGCCTTTTAGAACATGTTTTATAAAAGTAAAATTTCAGAATTCTGGTACTATGATGGGGAAACTATCATAATGGTTTCACAAACAAGCATTTTGAAATTTGGCACATTAGTAATGGTTAGCGTGGTTAACATTTCTAAAGTCACTTCCATTAATAAACAAAAAACCAAGTTGGGAGAATTTTCTGTAGGTGTATTGCACCATTTTCATACTAACTTGCTTAAATTATTTCTTCTTAAAGGGTGATTCCCTTGTTTCTTTAGTGCCCCCCTGCCCCCCTCCCCCCGCCCCCAAGGAACTGGAGTTCTTTTAAATTACTATATAAAACACAGGTTACAGAAAGTACAAATTTAACTTCTAACACACCTTCCTGTGGATTCACTTTGCACATTTAGAAAAATGCTGTAATAATGAAGTGAACTGATTCATCCCCAAGCTGTAATTCTAAAACCTAAAACTGTAACTATTTGATCATTTGTAAATGTTTAATCATGCTATTTCTTTAATTTTTCGCTAATTTTATAAGCTCACATTTGTCAGCTTTTAGTATTTTTACCCCAATACCAGTTATTTAAGTCATAAGTAAACTGAGCTGTGGTGTCATATCATGCCAACTAGGGTAAAAAAAAAAAAAAACAAAAAACCACAAAACCCTATACACTTAATGAAAAAGAAAAGACCACTTGACTTTTAGAAAAAAAGTACTTAAGGTTCTTTTAAGTTATATTTAAATATCCATTTGAGGCATAGGAAATATAGATTGGTATATTATTAAAGAGTAAATACATTATTTATACAATAAAACACCAATAAATTCAACACAACTCCTGTTAAGTTCTAAATATGATGAAAATTATAAATATTTTAGTTATCCTTTATATCTTGATTACAATTCAACAAATCACCTCTTCTCGATGTGCTTTGAAATACAGATTGATATGAATTTTAGCAATGTTATTTGCTTATTTGAGTAATTTATCAAGGTATTCAAATTCAGAAAAGAAATACCTCAAGAAGAGTAAATACCATGTCTATGGAAAGATGGGGTGCATTTATTTTATCAGTTGATTTTGGGAGACGGATGCGATATACAAGGAAGCGTACCACCTTGTTTTCTCTTACGGTGAGCTGCATCTTAGTGGGACAGAATCTTCTTGTAGGGTAATACAGACTCATTTGCCAAATACTGATCAAAACATTTTGAAATCAGCATTGAATTACAAAAGCTAAACAGACGTATATATCGATATTTTGATTATTCCATTGCTCTATTACTTAAATGGCAATAATTTCTCTGCAATAATGTTGCTATGTATACGATCCACCTTGAACTGCCGTAATTGGCTTTCAATCAAGTATTAATAAAATTGCACTGGGAGCCTTTGAAAATTAATCTCTCGTGATAAATTCCACTTCAAAAAGAATTGTTAAGTTAATGAGGATAGGTTGATTTTTCCAACTACAAACACCAACAAAGTTTCCAATTTTAGAACTCTTGAGAGCTGTGGTTTTAGAAACTTGGTGGATGTGAACTCTGCCAGCTTTTCGCATAATTTGGGAACTTGTGGAAGGAGAAAATCACCATCTAAAAGCCTCCTAGTGTGTGTGATGTTACAGTATTTGGTCCCGGGGCTGTCTCTGTCCCCGACTCCCAGCAAAGAGGATCAGAGTCTGCCCCTCTCCGAGACCCTGTCGTTTTTTATTCCCGTGTACCCCAAGTGTTAGCTTCCGCACATGTCCCCCATCCGTTCTGGCAGTTTCTTGCAGACCTATCGCAGGCCGACCCCCATCCCTGGGCGCCTGCGCGGTCACCAAGTCCTGCCATAGAGCAGGTTAGCACCCAGCACACCGCTGCCATAGTCCCCGGCGGCCGCGTCCAGGGCCGCCAGGCCGCCCCCGGGGCCGTGCAGCGCAGGAGGGCTCGGCGACAGCTCCTCGAGCTCGGGCGCGGGCGTCGGGGCCGGCGGCTGCGGGCCGGCCTGGCCTGGTGTGGGCGAGCTGGCACCGTTCTGGCACGGCTTGCCGTCCTTGACCAGCACCGGCACCGCCACGCGGCGCGGCGACGGCGGCGGCGGCGGCGGCGGGCCCAGGCCGCCCTCCTGCTGAAGCTGCTGCGCCGCCTTGTCCTTGGCTTGTCGCTTCATCTTGTACCGGTGATTCTGGAACCAGATCTTGACTTGCGTGGGCGTCAGGTGGATCATGCTGGCTAGATGCTCTCGCTCCGGCGCCGACAAGTACTTCTGTTGCTTGAAGCGTCGCTCCAGCTCGTAGACCTGCGCTTGCGAGAAGAGCACGCGGCGCTTCCTTCGCGGCGCCGCGGCCGCTGCGTGCAGTGGCGCCAGAGACTTGGCTGCGTCCGCGATGCCCGTCAGCGACCCCATGCCGGCCACGTTCACGCCTGTCGACGGCCCCATGAACCTGGAGACTGGGGAGGGGCGCAAGGGGAAGGCTGGTGAACTAGAGGCCCGCCGGGCGTCAATGCCGCCGCCGTTCTCTTCCCGCCGCCGCGGCCGCGACGCCGCCGGGTGCCGGCGGGCTCCCAGGACCCCCTGCGCAGCGCGCCCCTGGCCCCAGCACCCTCCGCGCGCCCTCGCCGCGTCCCAGGACGCCGCGCCGACCTCCGCACCCGCCCCGCGCCCGGGGTTGTGGCGGGAAATGCCCGCGCCGCCCGCCGGCCCTCAGTCCCGCGCTCCTGGCCCCGCTCACTTGACGAGTAGCGCGGGTCCGGGTTGGTGCCGTACCAGCCGGTGGCCGCGGCGGCCGTGCCGCCCCGCATGCCGTCCGTGTAGGCGGGCAGCTCGCCCATGTTGCCCAGGCCGCCGTTGCAGTAGCCGCCCATGGCGCCGTGCGGGCACTGCGAGACGCCCGGCGGCATGTGGTAGGTG